GATTTTCAGCACCCACATTGGGCAGCTTCCAACCTCATTTAATTCAGCTCAATGGATATAAGTCCTCTTTTGCCTTCATACACACCTACATGTATATATACATATATACGTATGCGCGCATGCACACACACACACACACACACACACAGAGAGAGAGAGAGAGAGAGAGAGAGAGAGAGAGAGAGAGAGAGAGAGAGGCAAAAGTAAAATTAAAAATTTCTACTGGTCTGAGATGTTACTGTAATGTATTGGCTCTGATAAATACCAAAAATCAGTTTGCTGTTTTTTACAAAATCCTGAACTAAAAAGTCTTCTAGGTTCTATGATGACAACAGAGCTGAAATAAAAGACAGTGGGGTGCTGAGTTAGACTTTTCCTGAGCACGATGGGCAACCTAATATCTACCTTATATGAACAGGTACAATCACTGCCTTTCACAAAATAAAATTGAGAAGATGTAAAGGTTTCACATTCATATTTTACTCTTTTCTGTAATATTTCACAATAAGAATTGCATAGCCCTTATAAAGTGTATTGCACACACTTGAACTACAAATGTAATTCTGTGATTTTTTTTAAAACAGCTTATATCAATTTCAAACCTCTCAAGAAAGAAGAAAGTTATTCAGTGGAGTTTGATTTTATATTATTTCTTCTTAAAGTTATAGCAAAGCATGAGAGTGCCTTGATAGTCCCAAGCTATAAAAGATGAGAAAGGAAATATAAATTCTTGAATCCTTGAGTAACTTGGGTACAAGGTAAAGGCTAAGCCTGTAATAACCCTAAGCTCTGTTCCTGGAGCTTTCTGAGGCCCTCAGTTACCTATAGAAAGTTCCCAGTTATTTCTCCTTTGTGTTCTTACACCATGCCTGGGCTTAGCTTGTAAGACAGACAGGGGCAGACTGGCTCTAAGGCCCATGATCCTACTTCTGTTTTCTTGTTTATACCTCACATTTTCTTCACCAAGCCTGAGGGAACATTATAGGACTAGAAATTGATCAGAGGGAAGCCTACCTTTATCTTCTTGTTCCTCCAAAATATTTAGTCTAACCTTAGAAAGCTCTTCTGCCTCCTAATGGCTGTGTGACTCATAAGGTTTCAGTTCTCTCCATACTGTCACATCTGTCTCCCCAGGATCTAAACAAGTGGTTAAGATACTCCAATGGCAAATTTTCACTCCAAAAATAAATATCATTAAAGAAATAGTGGTTAGTGAGTGTGTGTATGTGTGTGTGTGTGTGTGTGTGTGTGAGAGAGAGAGAGAGAGAGAGAGAGAGAGAGAGAGAGAGAGAGAGAGAGAGAGTATATACTTGTGTATGTTTGTGGTTATAAGTGCATGTTCATTGTTGAGGCCAGAGGTTGATGCTGGATACTCTTTACAGTCACTTTCTACCCTTTGTTTTTTAAGACAGGATCTCTCCTCGGACCAGACATTTGATTATAACTTTACCTAGACTGGCTGGCCAGCAAGTCCCATGAATCCTCCTGTCCCCACCTTCTTAGCACCATCATTGGAAGAAAGTCTACCATACCTGGCTGTTTATGTGGGTGCTGGGATTATGAGCTTATGAGCTTAATGCTTATGTGTCAAAACTTTACCAACTGAGCTTAGCCCCAATCCCTGATTCATATTTCTTTTAAAGTTCTCTGGGCACAATACCTTTAAAATGACATGACCAAAAGATTACCATTTATTTGAGATATATTGAGATTTATTGAGACTTATTTGAGATGTATACATGCATATACATATCATGTAATACATCATTCATTGTTATACCTTAGCTTTTGAGTGCATGTCACCAAGTTTAGTGGGATATAAATATAAGTAACAAATCCTTGAAAAGATAATCTGGGCTTAAAATTTTGATATTTGAGATCTTTCAAGAAAAACTTTTTATAAAATCTGAATTAGATCTCAAGATGCAAAAAAAAAATATAGTTTCTACTTTTTAATGTCACCTTGTTCTGATATTTTGCTTTTAATGATGGACCAAAATTTCTGAAGACATACAGTCACAGTCATGACATCAGACAGGAAGGGAGAGGCCTCTGCATAATATGTACCCAGGGGAGATGGCCTGTGGAGGAAATGTCACGAACAATGTTTTGTCAAGGATTTCTCTAAACCCATCATTGCCAGGCACCTGTGCTCCAGGGCATCTATCCAACCACCAGAGAGCAGGCACCTTGCCATTTCAGCAGATGGGTATTAATGTTGAAGGCAAAGAAACCATGTAGAGTATATATTTCAATTATGAGTGTGGAGACTAGGAGTCCCAGTTGGAATCATGTCCACTCCTTTCTAAGCTTGTATCAAACTATTCAGAATGCAGCTCTACAGAGGATTAGCTTTCAGGAAAAATACACACTCACAAAGGGAAGAACATGCCTTAGAGGGCAAGTTGAAAGTCAAAGAAAAAATGCTAAGTAATATTTGAAGAAATTCCCCAAGTATTTTATCTCTACTGAGATAGAATTTAAGAGAGGTAAGGGAGGGAACATTTCCATTCCATAGGTATATTATGTCAGAACTGGTGGAGTTCAGTCCAAAAGCCTGTGTATCCCTACTGTAACAGGCCATATTTCAATTTTTCTAAGTGTTCTAGTCAAACGAACCCCAGAGCTGAAGTTGCTTTGGGATAAGATCACCTTCCATTTCTACGTCCATATATTCTAAGACATACTTCCAATTCATATTACCAACTTACACAGTATCATATATTTTAAAGGTAATATCTCTTGGCATTTCACTGATTAATATCATTCACTGGCCAGGTAGTTTTTCAGAAAATAAAGACCTAGCATGCTGTGTCACTTTGTATTTAATTATTTACCTAATATCATTATCATCATAAAATTATTTAAATGTTCACTTCATGTTTTATACATTTTCTGGCCAATCAGCATTGTAAGTCAGTGGCTATATTTGGGAGTCTCCATTTAAGGAAAGATGATCCATTTTTCATTGCCCTAGCACAAAAATCCATAACAGTCTTCTTAAATAAGAGATTTAATATATTCTTTATGATTAGCTCCAGGAAAGAAAGAAAATTTTTATCCTCATCAAAAATACATTTATTGTTTTACCTAGTCAATCATGCATTGCCGCAAAGTATCTTTATAATGCCTGGGGTTGACAAGTGAGAGGAATGTTAGCACATCATTTAATCAGAAGAATCTCTAGTTTCTTATCAAAACATTCAGCTATTTATATTACTGAGAACAAGTAGCACCTAATGCTGAGAATCTGCCACTGCTTATGACCCAAATGAGAATGAACAATGGTGGTAGGTTCCAAGGCACAGTTAGGACATTCTGTATTTAAGTCATGGCAGCCATGCTCTTTTAACCTAAGGGATCCCCTCCCTGTATCTTAAAATGCCACTTGAGGCTTTCTCCTCAGTGATATTCTCAAGTAACTTGGGACTACAAAATTAATACTGCAACACCAGAGGGCGTCACATGGGCAATAGATTGCTAAAGCAGTGATGAGATGGAAGGGACCAGCTCCCCATTTTGGCAGCCAAAACAGCCAAACACATACTTGCCTGACCTTGTCTTGGTCACTAGGAGGTCAGATGCCTGCCTCATGGCAAGGAACCAATTCAGAAGTTAGCTGGTGGTGCTATGATTTACAGCTCTGACTGTGCTTTATGGACAAGTGCACAGCAATGACTCGCAGAGCATAGCAACCACCCTGGGAGGGCCTATGGGCCATAACAACCAGTTGACCAATAAACACAAGGCAAACCCTCCAAGCCTGGAGGCACACCAATCCTGAGCCTGTGCGTACCCCTAGACACTCCCCTTATACTGCCCTATAAGATCTCTATGCAGTGGCTTTGTAGTGTCTTTCCTAGCCACCTGCCATGGTGGATGGATGAAAAGCCTGGGCTAACATGGGGTTAGCTTATTAAAAAACTGCAATAAAGCCTTGTGCTGTTTGCATCAAGCTTTCGCCTCCGCATGGTGATCGGGGTGGCCAAGGTCCTGGGCTGAGTCCTGGGGGCCTGAGCCTCTGGGGGTCTTTCAAGATAACATGATATCTCTAGCAACAGAAACATCCCAAGCACCATTGTCTACTAGATGAAAATGAAGAAGCAAGTTGCATCAGATTTCCAATCTGCCCACCTTTTCTGTTTGGACTGAACCAGTTGCTATATCTGCTTCGTATGGATACCCAAACCTATGCTGACTATCATCTTGAAGTAAAGATGCCATGGCATCTTTCTGACATCACACTGTCCCAGAACTGAACCTTTACTCAAAAAAAGAGTCTCCATGTGCTGTGGGTAGTCACCTTGCACTAACTGACACCAGTACTCAATCCTTATAGTGCCCTGACTCCTAAGTATGAAAACAACTACCATGTGTGACCACTTACTGTGCACCAGGTATTATGTTAGCTCCCCCAGGAGCCTCAGATAAAACTGTCTTTTTTGACCATCTCAGAAGCATAGCAAACACCAGATTTCAGCCATCTCTACCTTTCAGAACAGATTATCATGCTATGTTTATCATGAAAATCAAGGCTCATATAACCTTGCTCATATTATCTTTTTGTTGTTATTGTCTTTGGTTATTTCCCTCTCTTTTTAAAATTTAAATTAGAAACAATCTTGTTTTACATGTCAATCCCCGTTCCCTCTCCCTTCCCTCTTCCCCTGGCCCTTACAGACACCCTGTCCCATCTCCTTTGTGTTCCCCAGGGAACACTGTGGTGTACATACATGCATGCAGCAAAATACTCACACACATGAAATAAATAAAATTTGCAAATGTTGTACTTTTTTTACTGACGAATAAAAGAGAGATAAAAGGGAAATAATTCATATATTACAAGAATTTCTGTCTCAAGCAGGACATTCATGCCTATACTGTAAATCTGCTCAAACCCTGGGGAAGTATAGTTGAAGCAGGAAGAATCTAATGGTGATATTTTGCTAAGTGAACATGTTGTCAAACTGCCTCCTAAATATTTATATTTATTCTCACAGACTGCTCCTGTCTTCTGCCTGCACCAGAAAAGCTTCTCTTTACAATGACAATGATTCACACTGAACCTCACACTGTTGCAAATGTGTAGAATAAATGACTATCAAGTGTTCAGCCCTAATTAGGAAAGCTATATCATGACTTCCTCCAAGGACCAGGGGACAAAAGAAAAGTAAACAGCCAAGCAAATAAAACAAGATATGAAAAAACTAGCTTGGAAGAATAAGGGAACCAACAACAGTGGGGAGAGAAGAGAGAGTTAACAGGGATGACTATGGTCACAGCATATTGTTTTTGTGGATGTCAAGTCAAAGAATTTTTGAAAGAATCTTGGCCAGCAGTACTTTATTCAACAACTAATAAGATAAACATACACAGAAGGACTTGCCCCATCAAAAGAACATGTAGCTTATTAGTGTATTACAAGTAGTTGCTTTCTTTTCATAAAAGTCTCAAGAATTGCTGCTATGGGACACAAAATGGGAGTCAGTAGTAACACTCATATGTGTCACTGAACATACTGTCTGCTCAGCTGAAGCCTGGTGGAGAAATGCATGGCTGTGAACCTGAAGAAAATGTACTTTTAACTATGAAAACCTTCAAATGGCCATACTATCAAAAGGTCAGTTTCTAGGATTAGTATGAGAAAATGTCCTTTTACTATGAAAACCTTGCTCAGTTTCCAGATTAGTATGACTTTGGGGTCACACGCAAATCAGACATTTTAGGCATAATGTTTTAACAAAAATGTGTTAATAGTTGATTAGCCTATCTCCCATTTCTGTGAACTTCTGTGAATTATAAATAATGTTTAAAGTGGAATGCAATTAATGAGGATCACAATGAAAGCAGAACTAGTTTGAAAGCAGATGGTTTATTGGGAAGTATTCACATGACCAAGCCAGTCCTGTAGAGCCAGGCTGGAGAGAGAAAAGAGAGCCACATGCATGCATCCCTCATATTTAAAGCCTTGCTACATCACTTTGACCATGCCCAAGTGTGCTTGGTCAGCATCACCTGTGCCAGCCCTCCAGCAGGTGTGGCCAGCATTTCCCCCTACAAATGTTAGTACACTGCATATATATTGTTTCACTATTGTGTAAGTTTGGCTTTAAGGTTTAGACTGTCTCCATCATACAAAGGATAGGTTGAAACTTTTTTCTATTTTTTTCTTTTTTGTTTATATTAGAAACAAGCTTGTTTTACATGTCAATACCAGTTCCCTCTACCTTCCTTCCTCCCCTGCCCACCACCAACTTCCTATCTCATCCCCTTTCTGCTCCCCAGGGAGGATGAAGACTTCCATGGGAGATCTTCAAAGTCTGTCATATCATTTGGAGCAGGACCTACGCCCTCCCAAGTGTGTCTGGGCTGAAAGAGTATCCCTCTATGTGGAATGAGCTCCCAAAGTGAATTCGTATATTAGGGATAAATACTGATCCACTGCCACATAGATTGCCCAGGCCTCCTAACTGACACCCATGTTCAGGTGATCTGGAACAGTCCTATGCTGGTTTCCCAACTGTCAGTCTGGGGTCTATGAGCTCCCCTTGTTCAGGTCAGATGTTTCTATGGGTCTCTCCAGCCTGGTCTTGACCCTTTTGCTCATCACTCCTGCCTCTCTGCAAGTGGATTCTAAGAGTTCACCTCAGTGTTTACCTGTGGGTGTCTGCTTCTGCTTATATTAGCTAATGGATGAAGGCTCATGTTTGTCCCTTTGTGACTGGGATAACTCACTCAGGATGGTTTCTTCTAGTTCCATCCATTTGCATGCAAATTTCAAGATTCCATTGTTTTGTTTTGTTTTGTTTTTGTTTGTTTGTTTGTTTTCTGCTGATTAGTACGTCATTGAGTAAATGTACCACATTTTCTTTCTCCAGTCTTCAGTTGAGGGCCATCTAGGTTGCTTCCAGGTTCTGGCTATTGCAAATAATGCTGCCATGAACATAGTTGAACAGATGTCCTTGTTGTATGAATGTGCATCTTTTGGGTATATGCCTAAGAGTGGAATTGCTGGATTTTGTGGTAGACTGATTCCCATTTTCCTGAGGAACCACCATACTGATTTCCAAAGTGGTTGGACAACTTTGCACTCTCGACAACAGTGGAGGAGTGTTTCCCTTTTCCACATCCTCTCCAGCACAAACTATAGTTAGTGTTTTTGATTTTGGCCATTCTGACAGGAGTAAGATGGTATCTCAGAGTTGTTTTGAGTTGAATTTCCCTGGTGTCTAAGGATGTAGAGCACTTTCTTATGTGTCTTTCAGCCATTTTAGATTCCTCTATTGAGAATCCTCTATGTAGTTCTGTACCCCAATTTTTAATTGGATTATTTGGTGTTTTGGTGACATGCTTCTTGAGTTCTTTGTAAATTTTTGAAATCAGTCCTCTGTCAGATGTGGGGTTGGTGAATATCTTTTCCCATTCTGTGGGCTACTATTTTGTCTTTTGTGTGGTATCATTTGCCTTACAGAAGCCTCAGTTTCAGGAGGTCCCATTTATTAATTGTCTATCTCAGTGTCTGTGCTACTGGCGTTATGTTCAGGAAATGGTCTCCTGTACCAATTTGTTCAAGGGTGCTTCCCACTTTCTATTATAAGAAGTTCAGTGTGGCTGGATTTATGTTGAGATCTTTGATCCATTTGGACTTAAGTTTTGTACATGGAGATAGATATGGATCTATCTGCAGTCTTCTACACACCATTATCCATTTATGCAAACACCATTTGTTGAAAATGCTTTCATTTTTTTGTTTCCAGTCTATTTTGCCAGACTCCTCATGATTTTAATCTATACATTATTTTTTCTGCATAAAGATGACATTTTATTTTTTAAAAAATACAGTAACAAAACTATTTGTTGTTTCACACATAAACAAAACAAAGTGTACTATAAAACAAAAACCAGGGAGAATAGTACTCTAAATGTTGAAATTTTTCCTTTGGCTCTTTTTCTCTTCTTCTTCTTCTTCTTCTTCTTCTTCTTCTTCTTCTTCTTCTTCTTCTTCTTCTTACAAGGTTTCTCTATGTAGCTCTGGCTGTCCTAGAACTCACTCTGTAGACCAGGCTGACCTTGAACTCACAAAGACCCTCCTGCCTCTGCCTCCCTGAGTTCTGGGATTAAAGGCAAGCACCACCACCACCTGGCTTTCCTTTGGCTCTTTCTTTTTTCTTTTTTCTTTTTATATTTGAGTTACAAACATGATTGAATTACATAACAATCCCAGTTCCCTTATCCCTCCTCTCCTCCCCTACCCCCCCAACTAAAACCCTACCTATCACATATCCTTTCTTCTAATCTATACTTGACTCAACCTTTCTGCTCCCTCATGACCTCTACATCCTTCCTCTTCTTCCCTTCTCATTCTCGTAGCTCCCTCCACCCTCTTCCCATGCTCTCAATTTGCTCAGGGAATCGTATCCCTTTTCCCTTCTCCAGGGGACAAAGTTTGTCTCTTTTAGGGTTCTCCTTGTGTACTAGTTTCTCTGGCAGTGTGTATTGTAGGCTGGTAATCCCTTACTCTATGTTTAAAATCCACATATGAGTGAGTACATATCATGTTTGACTTTTTGTGATTGGGTTACCTCGCTCAGAATGGTTTCTTCAAGTTCTATCCATTTTCCTGCAAATTTCAAGATTCCATTGTTTTTTTTTTCTGCTGAGTAGTATTTCATTGTATAAATATACCACATTTTCTCTATACATTCTTTGGTAAATCCATATGGCGACTCCTCAAGAAAATGGGAATGAGTCTACCACAAAATCCAGCAATTCCACTCCTAGGCATATACCCAAGAGAAGCACATTCATACAACAAAGACATTTGTTCAATGATGTTCATAGCAGCAGCCTAGATGCTTTCATTTTTACATTGTATAATATTAGCTTCTTTGTCAAAACTCAGGTGTTCATAGGTGTGTGGTTAATATCAGGATTTTCAATTTATTACTTTGGCCTACCTGTCTATTTTTGTGCCAATACCAAGCTGCTTTCAGGACTATAACTGTATAATAGTGCTTGAAGTCAGGGATGGTGATGCCTCTGGAATTTCCTTTATTGTACAGGGTTTTGGCTATCCTGGGTCTTTTGTTTTTCTGTATAAAGTTGAGAATTGTCCTTTTAAGGTCTGTGAAGAATTGTGCTGGGATTTTGATGGGAATTGCATTGAATCTGTAGATTGCTTTTGACAAGATTGACACTTTTACTATGTTGATCCTACCTATCCAAGAACATGAGAGATCTTTCCATTTTCTGGTATCTTCTTTAATTTCTTTTTTAAAGACTCAACGTTCTTGCTATACAGGTCTTTCATTTGTTTGGTGAGCTTTACTCCAAGGTATTTCATGTTGTTTGCGGTTATTATAAAGGGTGATGTTTCTCTGATTTCCTCCTCAGTCCATTTATCATCTGTATATAGTGGAGCCACTGATTTTTTTTTTTTTTTTAGTTAACTTGTATCCTGCCCCTTTTCTGAAGGTGTTTATCAGCTGTAGGAGTTCCCTGGTGAAGTTTTTCAGGACACTTATGTAAACTATCATATCATCTGCAAATAGTGAAAGTTTGACTTCTTCCTTTCCAATTTGTATCCCCTTGATCTCCTTTTGTGTTGTTGCTCTAGCTAGAACTTCAAGTACAATATTGAAGATATATGGAGTGAGTGGACAGCCTAAAATCAGTTCCTGATTTTAGAGTTTCTCTCCATTTAGATTGATGTTGGCATTGGTTTACTATATATTGTTTTTATTATGTTTAGGTATGTTCCTGTTATCCCTGATCTTTCCAAGACCTTTTACATGAAGCAGTGTTGGATTTTGTCAAAGGCTTTTTCAGCATCTAGTGAGATGATCATGTGGTTTTTCTTTTTCAGTTTGTTTATATGGTGGATTACATTGATGGATTTTCATATTTTTAACCATCCCTGCATCCCTAGGATGAAGCCTACTTGAAAAAGAAGTGCATGCAGGTGGGGTTTGAAGAGTATCCCCACAGCATATTTCAGCAGCACTCTGACCCAAAGCATGGGATGCAAATAAAAAGAGGGTCAAATGAATCTTTAGTCCTCATTAGAAACACACCCAACAAGATAATGTCCTTTGTTTTAATAAATGACTATAAATGTTAATAAAATGTCAGTGTGGTAAATGATCAACTGTTGTGACATTAAGAATAAGAATTAACTAATCATTCGAAAAGGTTAGCTCAGGATGGAGTGTCACTGTACTTTATATGCATTTCAGTCTGGAAACAAACCACCTTGAGACAGTAGATATATAATTGATAAATGCAATATATTCTTCAAACGACATTTTTATACAAAAGAATGGTAAAACTTTCATGACAATATTGATGTTTTATTTTGAATTAACTATTGCATCTTGATTTTGTAATCCAGTTAATGTTCTTTGAATAGCCTGGTTTCAAATCTTTTACACATTCCACTTTTGAGGAATTTACCTTGATGTAACATAGAAAATTATCTGATTTGATTCTGTCTTCCTAGTGAGAATGAGGCTTTTATGTGAGTTAGAGATTAAAATTCTTTTTAAATCTGTTTATGGTAGAGCTGTGCAACAAATTCATATTTAATACCTTCCATACAGCATGGTAACCACAAAATATATGCATTATATGTGGGCATAAGATTATTTTGTAATTTCAAGAAAATTAAATTAGCTTGTATTTATAAATTTAAAGTGGGAATTTTGGAATGTACTTCTCTCTTTTCTTCCTCCCTTTCTCCCTCCCTCCCTTCATTTCTTTCTTTTAGGCGTGTGTGTGTGTGTGTGTGTGTGTGTGTGTGTGTGTGTGTGGGTCATCTTGTATGCCTGAGGCATAGTGTCTTCACCATCTTACCTTGGCTTGTGTTTTCTTTATTGCCTCTATTTTAGTTTTCAAGTCTTGAACTGCTTGAACTGTTTCCTTCACCTGTTTGATTGTTTTTTCTTGGCTTTCTTTGCTTTCTTTAAGGGTTTTGATGATTTCTTTCTTCCTTCCTTCCTTCCTTCCTTCCTTCCTTTCTTTCTTTCTTTCTTTCTTTCTTTCTTTCTTTCTTTTTGTCTCATCCTCCATTTCTTTAAGGAAGTTTTTATTTCCTCTTTAAGGGCCTCTATCATCTTCATAAAGTTTTTTTTTCTTTGTCAAGACAGGGTTTCTCTATGTAGCTTTAGAGCCTATTCTGGCACTCACTCTGGAGACCAGGCTGGCCTCAAACTCACAGAGATCCGCCTGCCTCTGCCTCCCGAGTGCTGGCATTAAAGGCGTGCGCCACCAACGCGCAGCCCATAAAGTTATTTTTAAGGTTGTTTTCTTCTGCTTCATCTGTGTTGGGATGTTCAGGTCTTGCTGGTGAAGAATCCCTAGTTTCTGGTGATGCCATATTGCTCTTTATGTTGTTGAATGTATTCTTATACTGTCATATTCCCGTCTCTTCCTCCAGTGGGTGCAGGTGGAACCTGTGCTTCAGGAGGTTCCTCTCCCTCCAGTTGGTATAGTGGCTTAGGTGGTCACTTTTCCTACAGATACAGGTGTGTCTTTGACTCTTGTGGATGTTGATACAGCTCTGGGGCTCGTCCAGGTATAGGCAGAGCCAAGGATTTGATGGTTGTGCTGCCCTGGGGAATTTTTGGGGGTGTTGGGAGGCTGCTTCCAGGTCTCTGGGATTGGTGGGTTGGGGTGGGACATGTGGCATGTCCTGGGATAATTAGGGCCTAGAGTGTAGGGTCCTGCAGCTGGGGACCCATACACTCATTTCTCCCCATGGGGGTGGGACCAAGGCTGCAGTGGACCCAGATGTTATGGGGGATCATTTGGGGTGTAGCGAAGTTGCTCTCAAGTCCCTGGGACTTCAGTGGTTAGGGGTGGGGCACTAGTAGTTCCTTGGGTGATTAGGGCCTAGGGAGTGGGGTCCTTCAGCTGGGGAAATAGACACTCACTTTTCTTGGTGGGTGTAGGGCCAAGGCTTCCATGGTCGCATATGCCATGGGGGATGGCTTGGGGGAATGGGAAGGCTGCTTCTATGTCTCTGAGGCTTGGGGTGCCCAGGGCGATTCAGGCTGAGAGAGTAGGGTCCTTCAGCCTGGGACCCGGACACTCACCTCTCACGGTGGGGGCAAGGTCAAAGCCAAATGTAATGATATTTAAAGATCATTACAACTCTCAATGATTATCTTGAACAGCTGGTTAAAAAAAATAATTGTTAGCCCTCGATAACACATTCATGGTTTATCAGAAAGGTAGAGGAAGCATACTTAACAACATCTTGTACTAGTTAATTTGTTAGCTGTTTAGGAGAGGTAATCATTCAAAATCTATGAGAATTTTCATCCTTCAATTTTTTACAAGTTATTACCCTGAGGATAAAATTCATAATAATTGTCATTTTAAAGAAATGACTTCTCCCTGAAGAAGGACAGCAGTATCCTTCAAGTCAGATGCTGAAAAAATGTCAAGGCATCATCACATACAGGTTATGATTTTTTCCCAACCAGTTCAAGTAAATAGCCAAAGAAAAGTCAGAAATATGTTTTGGGACTTCTGAATATGTTGGTTCATAGTTTATATAAATTTCAAGTTGTTAAGGTAAAACTTAAATTATCAAAAAAGTTGATTTGATAGCCTGTCCTCAGTGTGTTGTGATCATATATTAAACTGTGCATATTCCAATATTTTATTTACTTGATCACATAAAAATCATCACAACAGAAGCACACTTGGTATGACACTATGTCACATGCCTTTATTGTCTTAAGAGTTTTCTGAATCCCTAAAAGGGCCAGGTTGTGGATTCCACTGTGTTCATTTTGCTTGATAATAGACTCATCTATTTCCAAACTCTGGAAGCAGAACATTGCATCCTTTTAATGAAATTTTGATAACTATGCCAATTAATATTGCTAATAGATATGTTTGTTAGCTCATGTTCTTTTTTTTCTAATCTACTAATATGTCCATTAAATTTTCATGATAGTGACTTTGACTACGGATAGCTTTCACCTCCTGATTTGTCCAAAGAAGCCCTAGCACCTCATTCTCAGTGAGCTGAGCCACTGAGTGGGAACAGCCAATAGCTAGTGTTGGGCTGGCTTGCAGCAGCCAGTGTGCAATGGATAATCTGACCAGGATGCTTTCCCGAGGTACATTATTTATAGCGCCTGGCAGCTGCAAGCCATACCACACTGTGTTATGCAATACAGCTCAAGGCCAAAAGAGAAATGGATTTTGTTAAATATAGGTCATATTTGATATGAAAATAATAAATCATATGTCCCACTCTACAAGAAGAAAATGTTAGTATCTTTCTTTAAAAGTGATTCGCAATTATTTCCATAGTGGTGAAACAGTTCATGCTCTTTTTATGGCAGGTTTTATATCACATTGGAATGGATAGACATTTCTGGTTCTGGACAGGACTGAGTCATTTTGTAAAAAAGTTTAGTAAGAATTTGTTCCACAGTTGCCACTGCTGCAGTAACCTGGATAGGAGCTGCTGTCTGCATGGGATGAGGGGTTAGTGTAATGTACACTGCACAGGGCCTTTGTGTTTCCTCAGACAGAATGCACCAAAATCTTGTGTTCTTGTGACAAATCTTAGAAGTCCCTCAAGCATCTTCATCAAAAATGATGTCCCTTAAGACAAATTGGGACACATTTGTTTCCATTCTGATTGATTTAATCCTCACCGCCTCCAGGCAAATTCCTCAGACATAAAATCATATTATCCCCCAGAACCCTTATAACTATTTCCATCTAAACATATTGAGAACTTGTTAGGTACCAGATTCCATGCTAAAATGTTTGACATGTATATTCTCCTAAAGAGTGTAATACTCTAAATGAATTATTCACAAGCAGTCACCAGTATGAGAGTTCTATTTTTTCCTTTGGGTTACTAGATATGGTGTTTATTATAATATTAACTTGGTTGTCTTACTGTTTCTATCATTGTATGATTTTGCATTTCTTAGTGAGAGCTAAGAACACAAAAAGGAAATAGGAAAAGAAGAGATTGGAAAAGAATGATTTACACTGTGTAAGCCAAGGACAGATTTTACCAGCCCAACCCTCATTTTACAAGTACTTTACACACAAGGAAAAGGATTTCACATACCCTTTTTGGTCCTATAAAATTCTCAGCATGCTTCTTCTATAGGATACAGCAAAATCTACTGCTTAGGTTCAAGAAGCACACAGACAGGCCCCCATGCCCTGCAACACGAGCCCTTGCAAAGCACTGGGGCCAGTTCCAAACATGACAAGTACTTTACACACAAGGAAAAGGATTTCACATACCCTTTTTGGTCCTATAAAATTCTCAGCATGCTTCTTCTATAGGATACAGCAAAATCTACTGCTTAGGTTCAAGAAGCACACAGACAGGCCCTGACTCTTAGCTCCTTTAATACCTGCTTCATTTGTACAGGTAAACTGACTCAAATCTCCATTTTTCCTTAGAGAAAAAGCCATGTTAATTCACTAAGCAATGCAGATGGATAAATGCTTACCTGTATTTGACATGGAGTATTCTGATGGACAGAATTTCTGGAAGAGTAAGTTTGGGAAGCTAATTCCCTGCCCTTTCCTCTTCTCTTTCACGGGTATTGATCCTTGATGAACTCCTGGTATCTCAGACTTCATTTAATAGTTCAGAATGATGAATGCTCTCAGCCATGGTCTGAGAAACCAGACAATAAAGCAGTTCTGTAGTTGGGTCATTCATGACCAACTAGCAATGAAGGTCCCAACACTGATGGAGGTGAAGTGCTAATAGCCCTGGTCACAAAGTGCCAGTTTCCTTATCAAACTTTAACAAGAGGTGAATTTGGAAGCTATATCAGTAGAAAGTAATACGCTGGGAACAGCCTATCAGATATTTGCAATATATGGAAGAAATACTAGCTACAAATATAACAGAATATGATGGCTATATTCAAGAGCCGTGGATGCTCTATTAAAGGAAATGTTCAATAAAAGTGAATAACAGCCCAATGAAATCTAGGTATGAAGGCCAAAGAACTACTTTCATAACACATATACAAAATATTTCTCATGACACACACGGGAGGTGGAGAAAGTTGAGAAAAATTCCAAGATTTAAATAGTATGATCAGCTTTGTTTCCAAAACAGTCAAAAATAAGACCAAGCATGTCACTTGTACTTGAATATGTAAGGAATGTGTGTAAGTATATCACCAAAACCAAGAAGTTTTTCTAAGAAGCAAGTCAATACAACCTTAAAAAGTCCACATGAATACATGTAGGAAGTAAGAGTCTGTGGTTATTCAATAAGACCAGAGCATTAGATTATATATGGAAGAATTTGTGGGCTTTGGAGTGCTCTCTCTCTCTCTCTCTCTCTCTCTCTCTCTCTCTCTCTAGATATACTCTGTGTGGTGATTTGAATGTCCCCTATGGTCTTCTATAGTCTTGGGTTTTTGAATACCTGGTCCCTGTTGGTGGCACTATTTGAGGAGGTGTCACTGGAGTCAGAACTTGGAAAGTTTAAAGGCTTGAGCTATTTCCAGTAAGCTCCAATTCTTTCTATTCCGTGCTAGTGATTGAGATGTGAGCGCTCAGCTTTCTGATCTTGCTGATTGCTTCCATGCCTCCCCACTGTCATTGACTCATATCTCTAGAACCATAAGCCCAAATAAACTTCTCCTTCTATAAGTTACTTTAGTCATGGTATTTTACCATAGCAACACAGATGTAACTAATACACCATGGCAGAAATTAGGAAGTAGATATAGTGTGAGCTCATTACAAGGATGGCGCTAAAAGCACAGAAAAATTAACGTATCTAAGAAAAGGCAAAACATTGAATTCTCCTAATTGATATGAGAAAAACAAAGAGCTCAGGAAGTTGAGCATCCTGAAATGACTATACAGAAGAGTGCTAGAAGACTTAACTATAAAATAATTTTCCATAGGAAGTCACAGGAAAAATAAGACTTGCCAAAGGCACAGGAATGCAGTGGTAAAAGGCAATAGCATGAACAGAATGTTTAATATTGGCTCTCTTTCATAAGTCAAAGTACACAATAGAAAATTTTGCTATATATATTGATTTGTTGATCTAAATAAGGATACTGTGATCCCAAAATTCTTCAAGTTATATAGCACTTAACTTCCAGAAGCTAAAAGATTATGACATTTAAGTGACTAGGCAGAACAAGGCAACTCTAACTTCAAAGAATAATGGAGACTAAAAAAGCATAATATCCTAAAGGTTGTATAGATGTATATCCAACAAGAGAGTTTCTCAATTTATAATGTCAGAGGAAATCAAGTGTAAAAGACCAGAGGGCCAAGGGCTGTTGCCCAGCAAAAGTCAAAATCCATTATCCATTTCTTTAGACTTGAGTCATTTCCAAGTTCCATAATTCAGTGACTGAAGAGGTTTTAGGATCCTTAAAAAGGAAGACTATGCCTACTGCATCAGACTTATACAACACTGAACCACCAATCATTGATTGAAGGGAACTTGGCTATTGACAATGATAATTCATAGAACCTTTTTATGAAAGAGTGATAGGGAGACATCTCAAAGATAGTTGCATACAAGGTTTAAAGTTAGCACTGATATCTAAAAATTTATTGTTAATACCCCTGGATGACTGGGGGGATGAATTCACTCAAGTCTTTTGAAAAGCAAATATTAAATTTGGATTGAAATGTGAGTAATTTTTTGGGAGAAACTCCAGCAAAAGATGAATTTAAAAGAGAGAGAAAGAGATAACTATAGAAAAGCAGCAGTTTTTCCCCCTGTGCCAAAAAATCAACCAAATTATAAGCTGCTATAGATAAGAAGGAATTTACTACAAGATGAAGGCAACTAAGTATCAATGGAAGCGGCCACTATTGTACCACATTCTCTATTCAGCTTATCCCCATAGCTGTAAAGAGAGTCCTTTATAACCAACTGAACAAAGAAGAAAAGATTCCCAACAAATAAATGAGATGTAATGAACCCTCTTCTTCATTTTGAAAAACTGAGTAATAGTAAAACATAATCAGATCTATGGACAAATGGTTAAAGTTCTAGCTGAGTCTACAGGTGTGTAAAAGAAAAATAAGTTTGTTTATAAAGAAGCTGGATTAGATATATGGAATGTTTATGGGTACACATGTGAAAATGGGTATGAAGGGTAAAGATTGGTGTATCGTATTCCCAAGTCTACCAAAGAATAGCTACTATAAAAGACCCAGTAATCAACTAACTTGACAATATAACTCACCCATTTAATATCAGACAGTCTCTGCCTTTGCCTACCCCAATGATGACTTACAAATACAGATACACTTATTGTAACTGCAGAATATGAAATAACACATGCTAATTAATGGACTCCCATTCATTAAGGCAAATTTAGTTACTGAATATCCAACCTACAAATAACAGACACCAATGTGGAGCCACTGATGTGGTGTCATTCTTTAAGTAGAAACATTGAGTGATTTAAGCCACTTCCACCACAGAAATGCCATCAGTTTATACCCCAAAGACCAGACATGAAATGTATTCCATGCATGGGTTTTATTTTCCTACTAAATGACCAGAGTCAGCATTCTGTCCAAATAATAATAAAACGTGTTATCTACTATTATGTATTTTAATACCATATTTCTTCATACCAAGAAACCATTGACAACATAGGAAGTACTATTTTGTTAATATGACAATAACAAATTATACCATCAAGATGCTTAAGGGCTTTCAAGATAAGGGATCAGGAAGGTCGAGTTGGGAGAAAAGAGGAGAGCAAGAAAGCATACCTTAATACAGGGAGCCATTATGGGTTTAACAAGAAATATGGCTCTAGGGAAATCTCCAGGGATCCACAAGGATGACTCCAACTAAGAATCTAAGCAATAGTGGAGAGGCTACTTTAGTGCCCTTCCCCTATAATGACATTAATGACTACCTTAAATACAATCATAGAGCCTTCACTGGGTAGCTGATGGAAGCAGAAACAGAGATTCACAGCTAACCACTGAGCTGAAGACCTGGAATCCAGTTGTAGAGAGGGAAGAATGAAGAGCAATAGGGTCAAGACCATGCTGAGGAAACCCACAGGAACAGCTGACATGAATAAGTGGAAGCACACTGACCACAGTCTGACAGCTGGGGAACCAGCATAGGACTGGACTAGGTCCCCTAAACGTGGGTGTCAGGTGTGTGTGTGGGGGGGCTGGTAGTCTAGGAGGCTTCTGACAGTGGAACAGTATTTATTCATAGTGCATGAATGGGTTTGAGAGCCCATTCCCTATGGGAGGGACACTCTCTCAGCCAAAATACACTGGGAAGGCCTAGGTCCCGCCCCAAATGATGTGACAGACTTTGATGATCCCCATCAGACGTTTCACTCTCCCTGGGGAGTAGATAGGGTGTGGGATGGGGATCTGGTGAGGGGAATGGGAATGTGGGAAGGAGAGGGAACTTGGATTGGTATGTGAAATAAGATTGTTTTAATTTAAATAAAAATTAATAAAAAGATGCTGAAGGAGCCGGGCGTTGGTGGCGCATGCCTTTAATCCCAGCACTCAGGAGGCAGAGGCAGGAGGATCTCTGTGAGTTCGAGGCCAGCCTGGTCTCCAGCACGAGTGCCAGGATAGGCTCCAAAGCTACACAGAGAAACCTTGTCTTGAAAAACCAAAAAAAAAAAAAAAAAGATGCTGAAGGGCTAACAAAGCTTTGTGGTTGCCTATTGAATGAACAGTCATAGATCCAAATATGAGGTAATATTCATAGGCCAGCATACTTTGTGCTGTATTCCCCATGATTCAAAGACCCTTCTGAAGCACTGAATCTTACATAAGAAGAATCCAGGGACCCCAGATGCAGAAAGTAAAAACAGGAATATGGCTGCTTCACCATTATAATCAAAGATCTCTGGGAAATTTTGCTTTCGGTACCTGAAACTCTATGTTCTTCCCAGTTATAGGACATGATATACAAAAGGACCATAATTTCAATAGAAGGCTATCATAATAGTCCTGTAAGAATTATGAACAATTTGTGAATTTGAGGCTAAAGTATAAGTTATGATCTTGGCAAGAATGATTAATTAAGTCATCAAAAGGGCAGAGAGCTGCTATTGCATAATGAGAAGAGCAAGAAATGCATATGAAACATAAATGATCCTCTTTGATCAATGTTAAGTGGAAATGGACAAATTCAACAATGCAGGCATGAGAAAGAGGGGATGACTACAGATTGCAATGAATGTAAAATTAGGAGTGGAGGGGCATCAATTTAGACCTGAAATTGACTGCAGCAATGGGACTGCGCTTGGTTCTGATTGCCTCTTTCTTCTTAATTTCTCTCAGGAAGAGATTTCTCCACAAATCTCTAGAAAAAGGGCCTGTTCAAACACACATGAAGAAGTGGATACATGTGATTAGAGTGTGAAGTGTGGTAGATATTGAATTGTACTACCAACATCCACATTTAAGGAAGGACTTACTGTCTTCATGAGTTGTCAGGACTTTCAGCTCTCTATTACTGCTTAAAAATTACGTTTAGAACTTAGCAACCACAATTTTATAC